TCGGCTGTGTGCCGGGCCCTGAGCTGCGTTTGGGACATCCTGGGAGAGAGGCCTGACGGTTGGCTGAGATGTGGGCCGGGAGCCGGGAGAGGCCTGGCTGCAGATACGGATGCAGCAGGGCCTGGGGCGTGCACGGACCCCCCCGGGGACCTGGCAGCTCAGGGCGGGAGCCTCCCGGCTGGACCTGGAGGCGGTGAGAGGAAGCAGCAGAGGCGACCCACACGGCGGGCGATGGCGGTGGGGCCGGAGTGAATGGTACGAGGCCCGAGAAATCGCGCAGCCTGGCCCTGCCAGGGCATCAGAGATGAGTTAAATGTTGGACCAAACACATCAGGCTCATTTTTAAGTTGATAATTTTGCATGGCCCGCGAATGATGTTATAAATATCCAAATGGCCCCGGCCGGAAACACGTTCCCACCCCTGGTTCCAGGAACCCACGCCACACGCGAGAGGACCTGGCCATTGAGCGTGACGGCAGCGTGAAGGGCTGCCCACGGGACTGAGACGGGGAGGGTGAACCGGGACGGGCGGCGGCGGGAGCGGCAGGGGTGGCGCTGGGCTCCCTTTCCGTGGCCGCCCTCGCGGGGTGAGACGCGGGAGGGGCAGTTCCCGTCTTTCAGTAACTTCCCGCGCCGCCTGCCATGAACCGGAGGCCCGGGTGCCCGCTTCACCTGCACCTCTGCTGTCACGCTCCCCGCCCGCCCTGCCTGCCAACGGGCACTTCGCCTTCAGCTGTGCGGGGCGGCGGCAGGAAGGGGCGGCACCGCCACCTGGCCGTGGGCGGTCGCCTGTCTAGACACAGCGCACACTGTTTGGCACAGGTTCCCACAGATCGGCCTTCCCGTCACTCCCGTCCCTCTTCCTAGAGCCTCTGACCTCTCGCCCGGCCCTGGAAGATCTGCTCACATCTGGACCCTGAGAACACAGGGTCCCTGCTGCCGGGGTCTCAGTTTCCCTGGTTCTGATTCTACTCTGAGGCCTGCTCGGCACAGAGGGTGCCCCCTGGGAAAAAGTGTGCTGAGACCTAAGAGCCAGAAATGATTCGGACGTTCGTTAGGCATCGGGCGAGCGGAGGGTGAGTTCCTAAGTGCAGGGCAAGGCGATGCGCACACGCTCTCTGGGCTTTGACCCTTTGAGTGCCAACCAATATCCTAGGAACTATGCTAAACTTGCCAAGGCATTTTTGCTGATTCTTCAGCAGTTTAGGAAAAAAATTATGAATCGCAAGTAAATGAAGTTACATATTCAATATCTTGCACAAAATCGTCATCTTCACAGCAAGAATTGACATATTTGGCAATGTCATCATCACTAATAAAAGCAGACTTGGAACTGGACACTGCAGGAGGAGCGCGATCGCGCTCCCGGCACTCTAGGGGTTAAGAAGAAGAGTGAGAAGGTGTGAACCGAACCGTCCAGGACGAGACGCCAGCAGCCCTTCCTGGGGTGGACAGAGCACAGAGGCTTTGGTGAGAGTTCCGAGACTCGGGAAGCACAGGAAGTGCTGCTGGTTCGATTTTAAGGGAGAAGGTAGGACACGGAATGACACGCAGTGATCACAACCGTGCCAGTGAGCACACGAGGAGGTCTAGAGCGAGGCCTGAGGTGCCACTGGGGCTGTTTGGACTGTGGGATTATGGGCATTGTTTTCTGTTTCCCTCGTTTTCTGTGATGAAGTTCACAGTGGGAAATGCAGAGAATGACATTTGAAAACCCTGAAACCTCATTTGACAGCCCCCTGTCCTCAGGGCCCCCAGTGGCTGTGTTGCTCGCCTGCCTCACCCTCTGTGGCCGTGGCTGTGGCCGTGGCCGGGGTCTTTCTATTGATCAGGGAGGTTCCCAGGGCAGAGCCTCCAGGCGGGGCCTCCACTGGGAACCCCTCCCTGGCGTGGGGCAGGCAGGTGCTGTTCTGGGTTGTTGGTCTTTAAAATGTACAAGATACCATTCAATACAGGCTTACAGCTCAGCACGCAGAGGGAAGCTACGAGAGCTCCACGGCCGCTGACACTGGTCCCGACGGCCCCGGAGAGGCTCGCGTGGGGACCACGGGGCTGGGCACGGCGCCAGGAGTGGAAACAGCAGCGGCCGCTGGCAGGGGGCTGGCCGATGCACACCAGCCGGGCAGGTGACCTTCCTCCCCGAGTCGGCCTGTCTCCATGCCCGGGAGGGCGCCCACGGGGGCGGGGGTGGGGGACCCATGGGGGAGGCGCTGGCACACAGTGTGGGGGGCTCAGCTACGGGACGCCGGCCAGCGTGGGTATCGGGCGCTCTGCAGGCGAAGCCTGGGGGACATACACCAGCGACAAGGCGTGTCCTGTGCTGCACGGCCTTGGCCCCGGCAGGGAGATGCCGCCTCCTTCCGCCCGGGCCAGGGGGGGAGGCCCCATCTACCCTCCCTTCCCCCTGGAATGTTTCTTCTTCAGGCCCCTGAAGGGACTCGGGGGAGGGTATGTGGGGACAGAAAGAGCAGAGACCTGTGTCCCAGATGGAACCCAAGCCCAAGTGTGAGGCTTCATTAGGGACCCACAGGTGCACACCGCACCCCACCCTCCAGACAAGAGCCCTACCTTGTCCTGCCAACCAGCAGTCAGCTCCCTCGGTCTTCCAGGCATTGGGCATCGTATCAGGGCCAGGAGCCCAAGGCCATGAGACCCAGCCCCTCACCCAGCCCCTCACCCAGCCCCTCACCCAGCCCCTCACCCAGCCCCTCACCCACCCCCTCACCCACCCCCTCACCCACCCCCTCACCCAGCCCCTCACCCAGCCCCTCACCCACCCCCTCACCCAGCCCCTCACCCAGCCCCTCACCCAGCCCCTCACCCACCCCCTCACCAGCCCTCACCCACCCCCTCACCCACCCCTCACCCAGCCCCTCACCCAGCCCCTCACCCAGCCCCTCACCCACCCCTCACCCAGCCCCTCACCCACCCCCTCACCCACCCCCTCACCCAGCCCCTCACCCAGCCCCTCACCCAGCCCCTCACCCATCCCCTCACCCAGCCCCTCACCCAGCCCCTCACCCAGCCCCTCACCCAGCCCCTCACCCACCCCCTCACCCAGCCCCTCACCCAGCCCCTCACCCAGCCCCTCACCCAGCCCCTCACCCACCCCCTCACCCAGCCCCTCACCCACCCCCTCACCCAGCCCCTCACCCACCCCCTCACCCAGCCCCTCACCCAGCCCCTCACCCAGCCCTTCACACACCCCCTCACCCAGCCCCTCACCCACCCCCTCACCCAGCCCCTCACCCAGCCCCTCACCCAGCCCCTCACTCAGCCCCTCACCCAGCCCCTCACCCAGCCCCTCACTCAGCCCCTCACCCAGCCTCTCACCCAGCCCCTCACCCAGCCCCTCACACACCCCCTCACTCAGCCCCTCACCCAGCCCCGCCCGGCAGGGGACGATCTGCTGTCACAGGTGCCTCTGGTCTGCGGTCGCATCAGAGCCTATTTCTGCTGCTTGGAACCAGAACCCTGACTCCACTCTGGATCCCAGTGCTTTGGTTTCCAGCCGCAAACACCTCGGCTCAGGTCACCCCCGGCGCCCACGGAGCAGCCTCCCCCTCCCACGGGCTCTTCCCATCCCTGAGACAGCGCCCGGCCATGCGAGCCCTTTCCTCCCCGAGCCCAAGTGCCCAGGCCTGTGGGCACCTCTCATCTCCCAGGGGCCGGTGGCTTCACCGGCTTGGACACTCTTTCCATATAGACCCTGAGCAGACCCCGTGCTCTATCAGATGGACACCGGGTGCTGCCGCCACGGATGCTCTCAGAGCCGCGCATCTGTGGCCAGTGGCTGTGGCCAGTGGCTCGGGGCTCAGAGGGGTTTGGCCTTTCAGGGACGTTACCTCCACGTCCTCATATTGCTCCCATGCTCCTTGCTGAGTGATCGATCGCAGAGATAGAGGTCTCGCTGTCTTTTAGAGAGAGAGTGGAAGGGAAGGGGAGAAACAGAGAGAGAGAAACAACGATGTGAGAGAGACACATTGATTGCTTGCTCCCTGCACAAGCCCCGATCAGGGCCAGGGATCGAGCCTGCAACCTACGTACGTGCCCTTGACCAGAATCGAACCCTGGACCCTTCAGTCCGCAGGCTGACGCTCTATCCACTGAGCCAAACTGGCTGGGTCAAGTCTCACTGCCTTCTCCGAGTTAAGAGGAAATGCAGGCTGGGAGTTTAAACTCTCTGCCTGGTACTCACCACCCTCCAACTCCGGCTCCACTTTGGTCGAGTTAATCCCGGTGATTCTTTTACAGAAATTTTTCTTCCCGTCAAACTTAGTCCCTGAAGGTTGCCATTCTCAACCCCACCAAACGATTTGTGTTTATTCTCGGGCCTCCTTCGGTTTACCTCAATGTGATCCACTCTTTACCCTCCAGCTCCAACCCCACCTTCCACACGAGGCATCCCCAAGCCATGCCCACCCAGACGAAGTTCTCTGTGGGGATTGTTTTCTGAACCTTTACTAGGCCTTTAATCACTGGCATCCTACACGTTTTCTGTTTTTTAGAATTGAGACTGAAATCCTGTGAGTCAATAAAAAAGTACTTAGAAAAATACAGGGTGGGTGGGTGGTGGTGGGGACTAGGAGTAAGCTAAGAGCAGGAGGTGGAGTGTGCCCCGGGCAGAGGGCAAAGGGAGGAGGGAAATGCTTGCAGAGCTCGGGAACCGTAGACAGGACGGTGTGTGTGTGCTAAGGAGTGGCCAGGGGTGCAGGCAGACAGGGGCCCCTACCAGGGAGGAAGGGCCCTGCTCCCCAACTCCTGGGCGGAGTCTGGACTTGACCCTGAGGGCCATGAGGAGCCAGGGGAGCATTGGGAAGGTGGAGAGAGGGATTTGCATTTGCATTTGCATTGGTCCTGGTTGTTCCCAGAGGCTCTAACCATCTCTGGCTCTAACCATGGGCCCAGCTGCCGCCCAGACCCACAGCTCTGCTCTCCACGCAGGAGCTGGTCTTCTCAGCCGCAGACAAACCGGCTGCCGCTGCACCGGCTCATTCCCAACCGTGGAATCATCGGTACCAAGAGGAATTCTCCCGGTGGGTTGTCTCCAACGTCACCGGGCACGTTGCTGATGACCGAGGAGAGGGCGTCCTGCTGGGGCCAAGGCCCATCTCTCAGAGCCTCTGAACAGTTTGGAGCAGAGGGGAGAAGAGAAACAACAAAAAGCTTCGTAAGGACCGGTCACTGCCAACGCCAGCCCCCTGCAGGTGGCCGGTAACAGCACACCGTGCGCAGTGACGCGCTGTCCCAGCCAGAGGGGCCTCGGTCCACTGCCCAGTAACGTTTCCTTCGGTTTAACATTAAGGTCGGGAGCTAAACTCCCAAGTATTTCTGCAGTCTCCTCAGGTCTCGGGAAACCCAGGCTGGAAAAGTGCAAGGTTTATTGTGGGAGGTCTCACCTAATAGTCCCAATTATCTTGTAACTTTAATTGCATGTAAGAAATCTTTTTATTTTTTTAAAAAAAGACATATTTTTATTGATTTCAGAGAGGAAGAGAGAGGGAGAGAGAGGTAGAAATATCAATGATGAGAGAGAATCATTGATCAGCTGCCTCCTGCAGGACCCTCACTGGGGATGGAGCCAGCAACCTGGGCATGTGCCCTGACCCCGTATGAACTGGGGACCCTTCAGTCCGCAGGCTGACACTCTACCCATTCAACTAACTCAGCTAGGGCAGGAATCTTTTTTTATTTTTTGCAGCATAAGCATAGATAGATGCTGCTATTGTTGCCATTATGTTTATTTAAAAAAACGATGGGCCATTTGAAAAAAAAATAGATACCCAATGACATAATATGACATCCTGATTGAATACGCCCTCATAGCTGCTCCTGAGGGCTTTGGCCCTCACCGCCTCCACTGCTGGTCACACACTTCCTGAGTGTTCTTGGCTGGAATCCCCTTGGCCTCCTGCACGCTCTACCTTCCTGCCACCTTCTTCCTCAGTGAAGCAACAGCCCGGCCAAGTTCAGGTCCATAGAGGCCACAGCTCCGGTCTGCGGGAGGCGGACTTGCCCAGAGCTGATGGAGGCTGCATAGCTCTTGGGCGTAATCCATGCCTATGGGCTTCGTTCCTTTCTCTAAATGTCTATTCAGCCCTGTCTGGCTGTCAGGAGGGCATGTCCCCTGTGGGAATCGACAGCCCGGCCACGTGGGTGGGACAGCCGCACAGAGGTGGGGCTTTGACATGATGCTTGTATGTTGACCTTCCCGGGAAGTGCTGACCGGGGGTGTCGTGACACTCACCCCTCGACATTCCTTCCTTAGGTGGCAGGTCACCTGGGTGGTGGATGCCACACAGGACTTCCACCTTTCACCTGGTGGTTCAAGTCCCGAATAGGGAGGCTATTTAGAGCAACCTTCCCCAGAAGATGACCATCTTGCGATGAAAACGTATGAAGGAAAACATCTGGAGAAAAAACAACGCATGCACTGGACGGTCCTGCAGCTTGATGAATCAGCAGCTGAGGAAAGGCCAGCGAGGGTGTGACCAGAACAAAAGAAACGTTGTTTCTGGAGAAGACACCAGGAGCCGCCTCTGACATTTGCCCCCGAGCTCCCTCCACCTTCCAGTCACCAGATCCTGCAGACTGTCTCCTGACCCTGGTCCTTCAGTCTCAGGAGCCCCACCCCTCTGTGGCCTTTTCGATGCGCCCCCCCCCCCCCCCCCCCCGCAGGGAAGGCTTCCTGGTTTGTTTGGCCGCCTGCTCCCACCGCCTGGTTTAGCCCTGGGGAGCCTGGCCCCCAGCAGCCCCCTGCAGATGCCGCTTCCTCCTCCTGACGGCCCCGCCAGCCCCTGGCCTGTGGTCCCTTGTGGAGAAAACACATGAAGCTGTTAAATGCCTCCAACATAATTGACATTGAACATTAAGAACTCCTGTGAGGCCACAACAGGCTGCTGGGGACACTTCATAATAATGTTAAAAGGAAAACAAACCAACCCCTCCAACAGAGGAGGTGCAGGAAGTATTTTGTCTTTTTAAAGTTATAAAGTTACAAAATATATTAGGCATTCCTTTCCTTAAAGCGGTACAGTGGTAAGGAGAACATCTCCTACAAACATCCCATAATTTTTTTTGCAAGGGAAAGTAGACAAGGGTGAAGGCCCGGAATATCCTATTTAGGCAAGGTCTGCGTTACCTTTTTTTTCTTATGAGTAGAGCCCAAATTCGAGCCCCTCACTCCCCCCCCCCCCAAAAAAAAAAACCATTTAATTGATCAAAATTAGATTTCTGGGTAATCAAATCTTAAACATAACCATGTTAAATGTTTTGGAGACCCTAAGTTACAGAGTAATTTTTTTCATGTATAACTGAAACTTTATACTCTTTGATCAATACCTCCCACTTCTTTCCCCCAGCTCCTGCCAACCACCATTCTACCCTCTGCTTCTATGAGTTGGACTATTCTAGGTGCCTCCTGTAAGTGGACAGATATACACACACATACATACATCATGTATAAGCATTATGTGTATGCTATGTGCAGGCATCCTCTGTGTCTGGCTCATTTCACTAAGTGTCCTCCAGGTTTATCCATGTTGTCACACATGGCAAGATTTCCTTCTTTTTAAAGGTTGAATAATACTCCATTGCACCCCATTTTAAAACTAGATTTTCTTTATTTGCCCATGAACATTGCTTGCTTCATGTCCTGGCTATCATGAATAATGCTTCAGTGAACATGGGAGTGCAGATACCACTTCGAGGTCTTGATTTCAGTTCTTTTAGATCTGTGGCCAGAAGGGGCATCGCTGGATCATGAGGTAGTTGGGTTTTTAAATTTTTCAGAAGCCTCCACACTGTTTCGCGTGGCGGCTGCACCAATTCACATTCCCAGCAACCATGCACGAGGGTTCCTTTTCTCCGTATCTCCACCAATACCTAGTATCCCTTGACTTTTTGGTAATGACGATCTTAACAGGTGTGAGATGACATATTATTGTGGTTTTGATCTGCATTTTCCAGATGATTGGTGACGTTGAACACCTTTGCCTTCTTGGGAGAAATTTCCGTTCCTTTGCCCATTTTAAAATCAGGGTATTTATTTATTTAGCTAGAAAATTGTCTGAGTTGCTTATATATTTTGGAAATTATCCCTTCTCAGACATATGGTTTGCAAATATTTTCTCCCATCCTGTAGGTTGCCTTTTCATTGTGTTGGTCTTTTCCATTGCAAAGCAGCTTTTTAGTTTGATACAATCCCACTTTTTTGTTTTTGCTTTGGCTGCCTATGCTCCTGGTGTTAGATAAAGAAAATTGCTATCAAGGCCAATGTGAAGAAGCGTTTCCCTTTTTTTCTTTTTCTTTTTCTGGGAGTTTTATGGTTTCAGGTCTTATGTGTAAGTCTTTAATTCATCTTGAGTTGGCTTTTGTCTGTGGTCTATGATAAAGTTTCATTCTTTTGCATGTGGATATCCCGTTCTCCCAACACCATGTATCGTTTCCTCATTGTGTATTCTCAGCAACCTTGTCAAAGAACAGTTGACTGTCTATGCTCGAGTTCATTTCTGGGCTCTCTATTCTGTCCCACCGGTCTATAGGCCTGCTTTTATGCCAGTGCTATCTATACTCTTTTGATTACTATAGCTTTGTAATATATTTTGAAATCAGGAGGTGTGATGCCTCCAGCCTTGTTCTTCTCATTCAAAATTGCTTTGGCTACTCCGGGTCTTTTGTGATCCCATATGAATTTTATGACTTTTTCCCCATTTGTCATAAAATATACCATTGGGATTTGGATAGGAATTGCATTGGATCTGTAGATTGCTTTGAGTACTAAGGGCATTTTAACAATATTAATTCTTCCTATCCATGAACATGGGGCATCTTTCCATTTACTTGTGTCTGCTTTAATTTATTTCATCAATGTTTTATGGTTTTCATGTACAGATCTTTCACTGCCTTGGTTAACTTATTCCTAAGTATCAGAATTATTTTTTTAAATTAATACATTAAATATAGCAGTAATGTCTTATATTTCTAAGTGCTGACTATAAATAGTATAAAATTTAAAAATCTTTTTGGCGATGTTTGTGGTTCCAGTAGGAAGATACTAAATTTGCAGCAGCATTGCTTGTGATCTGATTACTGATTTTTAATGGCTCCACCAGCATTCTGGGGCGGTGCTTTAAAAAGAAATCTCAAAGGGAGCAAATCAGCGTAGCTGCCCTCTCTCCCTTTCTGGAGAAATGGAACGAGCCAGTGGGTACATACCGGGTTGGGAGGGTTAGCGGTGCCCAGCTGTTATGCAATCAGGCTGATTTCCTTATGCCACCTGTCAGGTTCCAGGGGGTAGAGGGAGGTCAGATCCTCACTCATGGATGGGAGTTAGGGGCCAGGCTTGGCAGGCATATTATTTCCGGGTCCATATTTTCTCATTCCCAAACTGGGATGTGGTTGATAACACGAGGGACAGCTGCAGTGGGGACCACCCTGGGAAACTTGAAACTCACTTTTCCAGGTCCAGGACTGCCTTGCTTCCCTGTGACTGATTTATAGTATGTATTCCACTCTTAACTGAGGGTAAACGTAGTTCAGACTAACAGGTAACTCGCATTAGTACCTGTATTGTTTCTCTTTGGAAGAATGGGTTATGGAGAAGTCCAAGAATGGAAAACATTAGAAGCCAGATATCACAGAAAAGGATACCCCCTTACCTTCTGTGGGGGATGGAAAGTAGAGGAGAAATGGTGAGTACCGGATAAGGTGACAAAGGGGACTCTATTCTTGTTTTATTTGGAAGGCCACAGAATAATATCAACACCTTTAAACTGTGTGGTAGAAGTGGAGGCTGGACTAAGCTTTCGGATAGTCCGGGTCCATATTTTGTTTCGATTAATGTTTGACCTGGGGCAGTTGCATAACCTTTGCCTATACTTCGGGGTCCCTAAAGTGGGGTTACTGTTACTTGGAGCATCGTCAGGTACTCCAAAAGGCTGCAGGTTCAATGACCAGTTAGGGCACACACCCAAGGTTGTGGGTTCGATCCCTGGTCCAGGTGCATACGGGAGGCAACGGATTGATGTTTCTCACTCGCATCAATGTTTCTCTCTCTCCCTATCTGGCTTCCTCCCTTTTAAAATCAATAAAACTATATGCTTGGGTAAGGGCTAAAAAAAAAAAAAAATAGTAATAGGTACTTGCTTCATACCGCTGTTGAGAATTTTATGACACGGAAAAGCCTTAGCGTGGTGCCTGATTCACAGTGAGCGCTGAGTAAGTTGCACCTCTTGTCAGGACTGCACTTGCAAGGTGACAGTCCACTTAGAGACCCTCTGCATGGGGAGGCCCGGGCGGGGCGGCAGCGGCAGGGGCCTCCTCTACAGAGCGGCGCCGGAGAAGGTGCACGTGGTGCAGCGGCAGGGGCCTCCTCTACAGAGCGGCGCCGGAGAAGGTGCACGTGGTGCAGCGGCAGGGGCCTCCGCCATGGGGCAGCGCCGGAGAAGGTGCACGTGGTGCAGCGGCAGGGGCCTCCTCCATGGGGCAGCGCCGGAGAAGGTGCACGTGGTGCAGCGGCAGGGGCCTCCTCCGTGGGGCAGCGCCGGAGAAGGTGCACGTGGTGCAGCGGCAGGGGCCTCCTCCGTGGGGCAGCGCCGGAGAAGGTGCACGTGGTGCAGCGGCAGGGGCCTCCTCCGTGGGGCAGCGCCGGAGAAGGTGCACGTGGTGCAGCGGCAGGCCCAGTGTCCCCGCGGCCGGCGGGGCGGCGAGCCCGCTGCAGGAGGGCGGGCAGGGGGAGGGCGCGCGCTGACCCAGGACCGGCAGGCTCGTGGCGCTCGGCGGCCCCCAGGTGCACGCCCGGCACGAAGCACGCGGGTTGGAGCCAAAGCGTTCGCCTGCCCTTGACAACACGCGGGTCACGCCGTGCGGGCGCGGCTCTCAGCGGCGGACGTGCCCGGCTCCCTCAAAGGCATCGCTGCCCCGGGAAGGAGGTGCCCTCCCCGTCCCCTTTCCGCAGGGCCCTGGCAAGGTCAGGCGGCCGGCGAGGGCGGGCCCGACCTGCCCCCGCGCCCCTGCGCCAGGGGAGGACCCGGGAGGCCGCGTGCAGCCCCGCGAGGCCGGGGGTGTGGTGGTGGGGGGCCCTGGACGGGGGCGGGAGCAGCAGGGCGCCCAGCGGGGGGCGCGCGGAACGTTCCGGAACCTCCGTGCGCTTCCGGGGGCGGGGAGAGCCCGGATCCCGCCGCCGCCCCGCCCGGAGGAGGGGAGCGTGGCGGCGGAGACGGTTCCTTGGGGCGGGAGTCGTGGGCGAGGGGCGCGCGCGCGGGGAGAGCCCGCAGCGCACGCGCACTCGGGGCGCATGCCCGCCCGCCCGCCACCCAGGATGAGACAGAGGGCATGGAAAGTTCCAGCGGCTTCCAGAGCCGGAGGGAGCAGGCGCGACGGTGGCGGCGGCGGCGACAAGACCTGAGGGGCGTGGGGCCTCCGTGAGCCGCGCCGGCCGAGCCCACTGTGCTGTCCCAGCGCCACGGCGTCGGACCCGCGGGCCCTGTGGGACCGCTCGGCGCGGGGAGCGCGGCTTCCGAGGGGCGGCGGCCGCTTTAAGAGGGGGCGTGGCGTGCGTGGGGGGCGTGGCCTGCGCCTTCAGGGGCGCGCGGTGTGCGCAGCCGCCAAGCCTTTAAACCCGGGCTCGCGCGGCCGGAGCGTGCGTTCCCGCTGCCGCCTCCCGCCCGCCGCTCGCCGTCCCGCGCCGCCCGCCCTCTCCAGCGCCGGGAGCCGGCGGTCCAGCCGCGCGCCGCGCGTCGGCCATGCCCCGCTACGAGCTGGCCCTGATCCTCAAAGTCATGCAGCGGGTAAGTGACCTTCCCCTCAGCACCCGCCTTCCCGTGCGTGCGCCTCGCGGCCGCCGGGCCGCCGCCCCTAGCCCTTCCCGCGGGGCCGGGAGGAGGCCGGGGCCGGGGCGCGGGCGGGGGGCGGGCGTCCGCAGCGAGGGCTCGTGGGCCGGCCGGCTCGACGAGGCCGCGTGCGCGCGGGAGGCGGGGGTGTGCCCGCGGGCGCGCGGCGCGGGAGGGTGTGCCCCGCTCACGGCCGGCCCGCTGGCGGGAGGCGGGGGGCGGGGGACGGGCGGCCGGGGCAGGGGCTGGGCGGGCCGCGGGGTCCAGTGGAAGGTCCGCGGGAGGACACGCGCGAGCGCTCGGCCCCGCTCCCGTTGTCGATCGCGAAGCCGCCTTGTGCCCGCCGCCGCCTCCGCTCCGCTCCGCCTCCGCCGGCCGGAACCGTCCGCGCCCGTAGAATGGTCTCCAGCGTGTGTGGTGCCGCCCGGACCTTGGCCGCCCGCCGCCGCGCTCCCGCTCCCGACTTCTCTTTCCGACTCAGCGACGGCGGTCCCGGCGCCTTTAGCCCCGGTTCAGGCGGCCGCTGCGCCTCCCGGGGGACGGGGCTGGAGGTAGGGCTTGCAGGTTCGCCGGCGAGGACCGACCTGCCGCCGTCCCGCAGGAGGCAGCTCCGAGTCCCCGTGCCGGGCAGGGACTCCGCCGGCGCCGAAACCCTCCTGCGAGACGCGGGTAACGTGGCGCGGTGCGTGGTGCGTGGCTTGTGTGTGCTCTCTTCCAGGGACAATAAAAATAAAAACAAAAACAGAAATACTACCGCTACGTCTGAACGGCCGGAGCCTGGCTCCCCCGCGCCGGGGACCTGGCGCCTTCAGGCGTGGGTCCTGCTCTGCGTCACTTGTGAGAAGTAGCCGTTTGGAAGTTTGGGGTGAAATGGAGTCCGGAGCCCGGTCCCGGCGCCAGGAACGGGACCGAGCCCCGAGCCCGGAGCCCGGGGCGGCTGCACCGGGTCAGGGAGGACAGGAAGGGCCCGCTGCCTCCTGGTCGGGTCTGGCGTCCCCAAGCTGGCTGTCCCTGAATGTGGGGAAGACACGATGGTGGCGAGGAGCCCCCCTTTCACCCCCCCCCCCCCCCAGAGCTACCGCATGGAGAGAACAGGGGCAGTGAAAAGGAAACATTTCTGAACGCATGGAAATTGTTTAAGCTCTCTCGTGTTTTTCCTGTGCTTTTTAGGAGACACCGTAGAACCTGGGAAATGCAATTACTGAAGTTTCCTTCGTTTACCTTGTTTTGGGGGGAAAGGTCGTCCCTGAAGAGTCCGGGTGTAGGCACAAGTGTCCCATCCACCTTGGAAGTGAGGACTCAGCCAGGGGTGGGCAAACGTTTTGACTCGAGGGCCACAATGGGTTCTTAAACTGGACCGGAGGCCGGAACAAAAGCATGGATGGAGTGTTTGTGTGAACTAATATAAATTCAAAGTAAACATCATTACATAAAAGGGTACGGTCTTTTTTTTTTTAGTTTTATTCATTTCAAACGATCCGGCCTGCGGGCCGTAGTTTGCCCACGGCTGACTCAGACTCTGCCTTGAGCGGGGCTGACTGTTTATTGAAGGATCCCTTACCAGACTCCCTGTGGGGGTGTAAGCTCCTGTGCTCTGCTCCAGGTCAGCCACACAGCACAGGTGGTTTACAATAGCGATTCCTGCTCTCCTGGACGCCCTCACGGGGGTGGGGGGGGTGCAGGGGTGAAAAGCCTTGATGCACAACATGGGGAGCTCCCCGGGCGGAGGTTTTCCAGGACTGCAGATAGGACACTGTAACAGGGCGAGCTCCTGGCGAAGAGTTCCTTGGCCTAAATAAAGATTAAACAACAAAACTCATTTTTCCTTCACAAAACTTCTTTTTAAGTTGGTGGTAAATGTTTGACACACACAAAGACTCGCTGCTTTTGAACAATTTTGCTTTTCAATTTAGGAAAATAGGATTCTGAAATTGGATCAATACTGGGAGGAGAATGGATGGAAAAATTAGCCCTGCGGTGCGTTCACTGCAGGGTGCCGCTGTGAGCGGGCGCCTGAGGAGGCCGGGGGCTCGGCTCACTGGGCAGCACTTGGCGGCCCCCCTGGGAAGCCTGGGGTGGCTCCTCCATTCGAAGCTGGTATGTTTCATATTTTTAGATTCTGAAATCTATACCTCTTCACAGTATCACACTTCACGGTGATGGCTTATGCCCACCCCCTTCCCCAGACGGTTTCTGTCTTGGAATCGAGGAAACCTGCGATGTGGAAGTTGGGAGACTGGAGTGTTTCTGGTCCTTCTCTGGTGCTCTGCCCGAAGAGCATCCCCGGTCCCTGGAGTGCAGACTCCTCCCTGCCCATTTTTCATTTCCCTGGACCTGGACCGGACTCCTCCACAGCGCGCACCTGCTAGCGGTTTACGTGTAAGCTGGTTGCGGTCTGAGCGCTCCCACAGCCCGTGGATTGGAGACTCGCCGTGTGCAGGCACTGGGGTCCCGTGGCCTCGCCAGGCGGAGCACAGACGATCCTTGTGGCTGCAGCGGTGCCGGCCACTGAGAAGCCCAGGGCAGTCTTCCTCGGCCTCTGCTGCTGCCCTTCCACCTCCTGCGTTTGTGGGGATGTAGAGGCCAGTCCCCCCGAGGAGAGCTGTACTTGCAGGTGCCGTTGAGCTTACCTTTCATCGTAACGTGTGGATGTAAACACGTCCTTTCTGTCCCCCAACTTTTAATTCAGCGTGAAGAGTAAGTAAAGTGGGGTTAAGTTCTGAAATTGAACGCAGTGAAGTAGTAGGTGCTGGGAGGGCGGCCTTTCGAGGGAAAGACTGCAGCCATTTGGAAAGGTGGTTGCTTAGGCCGTATTTATAGTCTCCAGGAAAAAACACTTTGAAAGTGGTGTTCTAGCTGTACCAGCGTCACAGAGCGTCACTTACTCCTGGGAGCCTTCCCCTGTGGGAGGACACAGCTGAGGACGCACAGGCTGCAGCTCCCAGGGAGTCCCAGTCCAGCGGCGGGGACCCTTCTAACCGCAGAAAGGGGAGGCCCGTGAGAGGCGCGTTCCCTCTCCACCCGTCCTGGCGCGGGGGCCTCAGCAGGCAGGGAGGGTCACGCATTGGTTGGGCTGCTGAGGGCTGAGGAAAGGACTGACGTCCATAGACGTCACTTTGAAAGTAGCTTTAAAGGTTGGTATTTAATTTGCGTAACGGATGAATTGCCCCTACTGTGTAGAGAACTTAGGAAAGGCTGTGTAAACCGGAGGCAGTTCTCGGGCTTGGGATGGGCTCCGGAAGAGGGCTTGTGAGGTGCAGACGCGTCCCTGCAGAGCACTTCGTCTCCGGCTGCCGGAGGACGCTTTAATGATCCTGTCTTGTGACGTTTGCCCAGAGCTGGCGTTTGTAGGGTCGTGAAAGCCCTGGGAACATGCTCTCTCCTGGCCTTCCTGAGCTACTCAGGCATTTTTACAGGAAGAATTACAGGTTAACGGTTTAAGGAATAACTAGCTTAGTGGCCAAATGCATGCATGTGTATACAGTGAAACAGCGTTATATACGCTCTGGTACATGCTTTCCTAGTAGGAAAACGAGCAGCTACCTACTTTGGCAATCTTAAGTTCTTTTTTCTTTAAAACATTTCACAAGTTAGGGTTAATACCCCTCATTTTTAATTTTACTGAAAAGCAGGTTATATTTTAAATTTTAAGATAACTCATTGAAATAGTTCTTCGTAGGCAAAGAATTTTATGATATAATCTGAGTTTAACTTACCACCTGGGTTTTATGTGTTTAAAAATTAAAGTGTAGTGATAGTCCAGTTTCCAAAATGTAGCAAGCAGTGCTTTCCGATTGTGGGCAAGAGTCCCTTCTATTTCTCTTCACTCAAGCCTTTTTGATTAGAAAAGCTGGCAGAAGTTTTGTATTTGTTCTAGAGTTATATCCAGGCCAGGGTCTTCTGAAGGTAACGACTACAAAATGTTGGCATTTTAGACACCTTTTAGACACCTGCCGAGGGTGCTAATGAGCTCAGATGTGGGGCTGACCAGCCCCACTCATTGGAGCCCTAGCTCATTGGAGCTTGGCTGCTTGGCAACATTTGATGACTAGGACATGGACACATTTCTGCTCCGGGTGGTGGCAGACAAACATTCAAATGGAAACACCTTTGTTCTATCTGTCAGACGGCTGAGTTGGTCTTTTTTTTCCCCTCTTATGGGCCCCCCTCAAATAGCTTAGCTTGTCTCTTTACTAATTACCCTTTGTGTTTTGTCTGCTTGAAACTGGACAACTTAAAATGCTTGCCCAGTAATGAGAGACGAGCCTGGCGCATTGAGTGTCCTTGGGATTAAAGTGTTCTTGGGTTACAGCTCATTGCCGGCCAGTGATTGAAGAAGGCGCCCTTCCTGCCCCTGAGCTCGCTAAGGTCCGCGGAGTGGCGGGGGGTAAGGAGTCCTTCCTCGCCAGACACGGTTTGTGTTTCTCAAGAAAGCTGTCAGAAGGGACATTCCACCCTGTGTTTTCTTCTTGTTCATGCCTCACATTCAACACACGTTTATAGGTGTTTAAGTCTAGTATTGACATGCAGACGATTATCAAATCACTTTCGAGAAAACAGTTTGGAAGAAATGAGGGACAAATTCTAAAGTATTTTCCATCTAGTGCAGGGGTGGGCAAACGAGGGCCACAATGGGTTCTTAAACTGGACCGGAGGGCCGGAACAAAAGCATGGATGGAGTGTTTGTGTGAACTAATATAAATTCAAAGTAAACATTACATAAAAGGGTACGGTCTTTTTTTTTTTAGTTTTATTCATTTCAAACGGGCCGGATCCGGCCCGCGGGCCGTAGTTTGCCCACGGCTGATCTAGTGCCTGCACTGTAATTGTACAGGTGTGATTTTCCTGTTCAAGATAAATACCTCTTTTTAGTGGAAGCAGTATTCTTAAGCACCAGGGATTATTATCAACACATAATTATCTCTTAGGGGAATAAAAATTAAGAAATTAGTAAAAAA